AAGTTCTGGAGAGATTAAGGATATGTGGGATATACATAAACATAATAAAGACAAGCCCATAGCCAACATGAAATTAAATGGAGAGAAACTCAAAGCAACTCCACTAAAGTCAGGAATAAGGCTTGGTTTATACTCTCTATACTTCTTCAATGTAGTATTTGAAGTCTTAGCAAGAACAATAAGAAAACTGAAAGATACAATGGGAATACAATTTGTAAAGGAAGACATCAATATATTTTTGTACATGATAATGATTGTACACATAAGTGATCCTAAAAATTTCACTGGGGAACTACTATAACATTTAAACACTTTCAACTCACAAAAAACCACTAGCCCCCCCCACCATTTATATACACATGACAAACAGTCCAAGAAAGAAATCAGAGGAATAACACTTTCACAATAGCCTCAAATAATATGTAATATTTTGAGGTAACCTTGACCAATCAAGTGAGGTATGTGCATGGCAAAACCTTCAAGAATTTGAATAAGGAATTTGAAGAAGGTTAATAAAAAGATTTCTCATGCTCAGGGATCTATAGTATTAATATACTAAAGACAGCCATCCTACTAAAGGCAATCTTCAGATTCAAGGTAATCAGCATCAAATTTCTAATACAGTTCATAACAGATCTTGAAATGACAATTATCAGATTCATGTGGAAACACAAAAAATGCCAGGATAACTAAAACAATCACAAACAACAGTCTGAGTTATCATCACCCAATTTTTTAAAGTTGAACTACAAAGCTATGGTAAGAAAAACAGCCGGGCTGTGGCGGCACACGCCTTTAACCCCAGCACTCAGGAGGCAGAGCCAGGTGGTTCTTTGTGAGTTCAAGGCCAGCCTAGTCTACAGAGTGAGATCCAGGAAAGGCGCAAAGCTACACACAGAGAAACCCTGTCTAGAAAAAAACACAAAAACAAACAAACAAAAAAAAGTAAAACACCATAGCACTAGTACAAAAGCAGACATGGTGTCCAATGAAATTTAATTGAAGACACAGATATAAGTCTAGATACCTATGAACATCTGATTTTTTTTATAAAGAACCAGAAATACACTCTGCAAAAAAAGACAGCATTTTCAACAAATGGTGCTGCTCAACTGAATGTCTGCATGTGGAAGAATACAAATAGATCCAGACTTATTACCCTGTACAAACCTCAACTCCAAATGGGCCTCAACATAAAAACAATATATTGAAAATGATAGAAGAGGATATTAGAAATAGCTTTGTATGTATTGACACAGGGGAAAACTTTCTGAACAGAACTCTGCAAACTCAGGCACAAGATCAACAATTAATAATTGGGACCTCATGAAACTGAAAAGCTTGTGTAAGGCAAAGGACACTATACTTAGGACAAATCAATAGCCTACAGAATGGGAGAATGCTGTTACCCGTACTACCTCTGATAGAGGTCTATTATCTAAAATATATAAAGAATTCATGAATCTAGATATTAAAACATCAAATAACACAATAAATGGTGTATAGATCTAAACAGAGAAATCTCAAAACAGGAAATTCAAATGACTGTGAAACACTTAAAGAAATGCTCAACATCCATTACCTTACCCATCATGGGAATGTAAATTAAAGCTACGTTAAGAGTCTATCTTGTACCTGTCAAAATGTCAAGAAGTGGAACAAGAAAAACACTTATCCATTGCTGGTCAGAGTGCAAACTTATACAGCCAGTATGGAAATCAATATGGTTGTTCTTCAGAAATTTTTGAATTGATCTCCCTTAAGATCCATTTATACCACTCTTAGATGTTCACCCAAAGGATGCTTCATCCTACCTCAGAGATACTTGCTAAACCATGTTCATTTCTGATTTATTCATAATATCCAGGAACTTTTAAAATATAGATATTCCTCAAGAGATGAATGGGTAAAGAAAATATGGTCCATTTATGAAAAGTATTATTACTCAGCTTCTTAAAATAGGGTCAGAGGAACATCCTGAAATTTTCAGGTAAATGGATGGAACTAGTAAAACAAAATATCCCGAGTGAGGTAAGCTAAAGCTATAAACATAAATATAATATATATATATATATATATATATATATATATATATATATATATATATATGGATATTAAACATTAAGTAAATAACCAATCTATAATATATAGACCCAGAAAGGTTTAGTATAGAGAAAGAGACTGGGATTCATGGTCTCTCTGTGAGGGGAAAAATAAATAGTTTTTATGGGTGGATGGGAGGATAGGTCAGAGACAAGATGGAAATGATAAGATGGGGAATGTGAGGAAGATGGGATTGAATGAAAGAATGTAGAAAGAGAGGTTGGAATTGAGGGGCATTTGAGAGATGGTATGAAAATGCAGTGGAGTGGAAAGTTTCTAAAATATTTCAAAGCTAGTCTAATGATGACTCCTAATAATGAGGGAGACAGAGTTGCAACTAGCCATCTTATATACCACATTGCATTCAATTGAGTTTTTGGCTAAGGGTGTCTCATGGAAATCCTCAGACAACAATCATTGTTGCCAAGACAATGGGTTGCCTTCTGCTGAGGGCAACAGACTCACAAAGTCATTGTAATTGGAGAAATTGATCATCCTTATTATTGGAAGGTACTCTGCAGGCTACCAAAGGAGAAACATAAACACCAACAGGTTGTGTTTTGCCTGCAAGTTATGCTACGGCAATGGTGGTCCAGAAGTTAAAGGAGTAGCCAACTAAATAAGTACCACACCACAGGATGGAACACATACAAACAATGTTTGAGAAACCAGGAACCAGAGACTAGAGAGCTCAGAACACTACTTGATTTAAAAAAAATCATTAACATGATGCTTAATAATATTCTGCTATAATCATAAATTAGTGCCTTATTCAGACATCGTCAGAGAAGCTTCCTCTTTAGCAGACAGGAACAGAAGCAAAGACCCACAGTTGGACATTAGAGAGACAGAGACAGAGATGGACACAGAAATGTCCTTGGAACACACAGTCCTAAATGTGTCTCCTTTGAATTCCTCCCCTCTGAGTTTAGGGAACCTTATGGAAGAGATTAGATAGACTGAAAGAGTCAAAGTAGGTGGAGGACAACATTAGAAAAACAGGCATTTTAAATCAACTGAGCAAGTGTAAAGTGAACTCACAGGGACTGAAGCAGCAATCACAGGCCTTATGTGGGTCGGCACCCAGTCCTCTTCATATGTATTTTAGCTTTGTATTTTTATGGGAGTTCTGAGTATGTGAGCAAGTAGGTCTCTGATTCTTTTGGCTGTTCTTGGGATTATGTTCCTTCTATTGAGTTGCTTGGTCAGGCCTCAGTGTAATGGTTTTTGTTTTATCTAATATTTTATTTTGTCATGCTTGGTTGTTTACTCTTAGAAATCTGTTCATTCCTAATGATAGACAAAAAGTGATTGGATTGGAGAAGAGGGAATGTGGGGAAGTACTGGGAGGAATCAAGGAAGGGTAAACTGTAATCAGGAGATATGATAAGAAGAGAATCTATTTTCAATTTAAAAACTAAAATAAGAAAATCACAGAATGTGATATATATCTTTTTCAATACTACTTCAATAAGTAAAATTTATGACATGGAGTTATTGAGTTGAAAACTTGAATAAGCCATACACCTTGACCTTGGAGTTTTCTTTGACTCAAATTAAACTTGTTTGTAAAGCATTTTAGGCAAATGTCTATATTTAATTGGAAATGTCAGAGGGCAAATATATTTATAAATTATCATCCTATTTTCATTTTTGAAAACAAAACACAAAGATTTCATAGTAAAAACAATTTATCATTTTCAGAAAAACCTCATGTATATTTTACTTTTAGCCACCTGTCAGAACTTTATTGACGAGGCACATTTACAATTCCTTTGTAGGACAATAAGAAATTGCTTTCCAGAATCTCATGCAAGAGATTAAAATGCATGTCATTTCAAATCTAAAGTAAATAAGATGTAAAGAATTTTACCTTCTGTTTGTTTTTAACACTAACATGGATACTGAGTTGTAATTGTCCTTGTTTTCAGTGGGGTCTCTTTGTAGAATAAAATACTTAAAATTTTAGATAAATGAAAAATATTTTATCTATGAATATTTGTATTTTTCCTGAGAATTTTTATAAAATAATAGTGCTTTACTGAATCATAGAAAGAAAAAAGAGACAGTCTTTTATACTAAGATACAGCATTATATTCCTCAAGCCCCAAGTCCGTGCATTATAGAAGTACACACTTGATAGGACTCTCATACCCTGAAAAGAGTATGCATCATTTTAACTCATACCAAAGTTTAAGGGGAGTTCTGCACAGAATTCTAATTGTTTGAAAAACTTACATAGGATTAAGACCACAAAATCTCAAGGTATTAGTAATGATAGAAGCACAAATACTTTTAAGTTAGAATTGTTTATGTGCCAACAGAACCTTTTAATATCTTCCTTCTGTGACATCATGTAATGCATAGCTTATAGAAAAGAACAGTTCAGTCATGCTCCCATGCTCTAAGATTAAAGGCCTCTCAAGTGATCTTGGTTCTCTTAGTCTTTCTTTCTTTCTTTCTTTCTTTCTTTCTTTCTTTCTTTCTTTCTTTCTTTCTTTCTTTCTTTCTTTCCTTCCTTCCTTCCTTCCTTCCTTCCTTCCTTCCTTCCTTCCTTTCTTTCTGTCTTTTTTTGGGGGTTTTGGGGTTTTTTTGAGACATGTTTTTTTCAGCACAGCCTTGCCTCTCCTGGAACTTGAGATATAGACCAGCCTGACCTGGAACTCACAGAGAACTGCCTGCCTCTGCCTCCCAATTGCTGAGATTAAAGGTAAAAAAGGCATGTGCCATCACCTCCCAGCTTTGACCTTGGTTTTCTACCTTTAAGGAATAAAATGTACTTTAGTGGTAATGAGCTCTTCATTCCTTCTCTAGGAAAAACAGTGTTTCATGTTCATAAAGTCTGGCCAGTTGTTTTCTGGTTACAATCTGTAACAAGCAGAAAATCTTTGGCCTACCTCCTCACACGCAGTTCTGAAATCCATGTGCTGTAGTACTGTGAAGGATGTGGTCTGTAAAGAAAGAAAGAGTGAGTTATTCATAGGCAGCATGGAGGTCAATACAAAAAAATAGCACAAGAAACCAAAGTACTGCTGTGAGAAAATAGCATAGACATCCAGCTATAAACAACAAAACAATAGGAAAAAGAAGACATTAAAAATCTTCACCTCAACTTTTGTTAAAGTATGAACAACTCCCAATGATGTAGTATAATGGAGAAAATTCCAATCCTAATTGGGCATGTGATTACCTTCTTTTCTCAGTTTTTTCCTCAGTTGTGTCATTTGTTTTGAAATCTCAGGTTTTGAGAGGGAGAACTTCAAAAAATGTAAATAAATATTGCCTTTCATCTGCTTATCTCTTGAATGAAAAGCTAATTAATATTACTCTTTGTAATTGAAATACTATATGCATGAATAATTCTCTCAGAAACTTAAATTTTTATTCAGAAACAGTATGAGGCAATAAAGAAAGTTATTCACCATTTGCATAATGATAAGATAATTGAAAATAAAAATTTCCAACAAATATTTTCACATAGAGATGACTGTATAGCTTAGTGATGAAGATAGATTTAAGTGGATATATTGATTTTAAACTTTTAGCATTCTGTATACAATATATGTTGACCATAAGAAAGGTAAGCATTGAAAAAACAACAACAAAGAAAAGGATCTCTACTCTCTATACTATAAAACAAGACAGTGTTCAGCTTAGCATAATAATTACATAGAGAACACTTCAGGGAAAATGTGTAATTTTCAAATAAAAAGCTCTCTGCTACTCAAAATGTACTGTCTTTGAAATAGCAAAGCTCTTCTTCCTATGTCACAATGTGTTGTATGACATCAAGGAACACTTGATCAAGTAAGTGCAGAAAAACTGTTTGGGAAGAGCCTTCACTGTCACTGATTGCTTGGCTCCCACATAATTGAAACTGGCCATTTCCAGTAAAAAACTAAATATTTTATGTAACTTATAAACAATCCAGAATATGTTTTCTGGATTGTCAACCTAATTTTATTTTTACTGAAATACATAAGATGACTTGTTATCATACACTTACACAACAACAAATCATTAGCCATTAAAAGGCAGCCTTATGAAAAAAAGGCTTTCCTTTCTGCAAAAGTAAGAAAACTGGTATTACTTATAAAAAACAGAAGGAGAAGCACACAGACCCGAGTTCTATAGTTCCATGCATTATACACATGTGAAGAAAAAGAGGAGGAGAAGGAGGAGGAGGAGGAAGAGGAGGAGGAGGAAGAGGAGGAGGAGGGGAGGAGGAGGAGGAGGAGGAGGAGGAGGAGGAGGAGGAGGAGGAGACAGGCAAAGTAGATCTCTAGCATGTACTAGCAAGCCAGTCCAGTCAAATCAGTGAGCTCTAAGTTCAGATTGGGACCATATCTTAAAAAATAAGATAGAGAGTAATTGAGAAAATAACCTGGCATTGACCTCTAGTCTACAGACACACATATAGAGAAGTGTAACTGCACAAAAACATACATGAACACCCATAATAAATAAATAAAAATAACATGTTAAAATTAATGCTTTACTACTAATAATTGATGATTGATATAGACATGAAGATATTAAGCAATAATGTACACCAAACCTCATATTTAGATTCTTATACTGAATATAACTTAAGCATATGCAACTTAAGATAATATTATTTCATAACAATGTCATACATTTAAACAGTATCTCTACCTATTTGACTTCACTGTTTTACCACATCTTGCTTTTTATATTATTTAAAACAATCTTTAAGTTTAAAAAGTTTAAATATAGTTTGATCATATTATTCCTCTCTCCCAAATCTAAATACTTTTTATTCCCTACCCATCCAACTTCAAGTTCTTTCTCAAAAAAAAAAAAAAACAAAAGCCAAATATAAAAACAAAACCCCCAAACCAAGAAAAAACAAAATAAAACCACACCAAAAAATGAGAAACAAACAAACAAAACAAGACACCAAACTTTGTGTGACCAAATAAGAGCACACACAGGAGCACACACACACAAAAAAAAAAAACAACAAAAAAACAACAAAAAAAAACAGAGATGTTTGGTGTATGTTGATCCTGATGATGAGGCCTGTCTTAGTGTGGTTGATATCCCTGTATAATTATATTGATGAAAATTGCTTTTCTCTCTCCCAGCAGGTATAAATTATAGTTCATTCATAAAACTTTCCCTTAGTGGCTAAGATTTCATTAATTCATCCATTTATATATGTTCATATGTAATATATATATATATATATATATATATATATATATATATCACAATCATTTCCAAGTTGGTAAAACAATAGAAGGAAAGATCACGACAGAAGTCACAAGAATCAGAGATCCACTCATTTTCACACTCAGGAATCTCATAAAAACACTAAAATGGAAGCTCTAATATATATACTCAGAAGACCTGGTGCAGACCCATGCAGGTTCTGTGCCTGCTGTGTCAGTCTTGGTAAGTTTTGCATGTGGTGACTTAGAGCAGTAACCTGTAGGCCAAGGCCCCTTTGGGAATTTGAATGACCCTTTCAAGGGATCACCTAAGACCATTGGAAAACACAGATTCACAAAATTCACAAAATAGGATTCACAAAAGCAGAAAAATTACAGTTATGAAGTAGCAACAAAAGTAATTTTATGGTTGGGGGTCACTACAACCTGAGGAATGTATTAGTGTTGTAGCATTAGGAAGGTTGAGAAACAGTGATGTAGAGGGTCTTATTTTCTTGATATCCTCCTTCAATCTGGCTCATACAATCTTTTCACTTCTTTTTCTGTGGAGTTCCCTGAGCTCTGAGGGTAGGGATTTGTTGGAGACATCAGATTTATGGCTGAGTGTTCCAATATCTCTCACTCTGTGCATCATGTCTGGATATGGGTCTCTATATTTCTATCTATCTGCTGCAGAAGGTTGCATCTCTAATAATAGGATAACAAAGCACTAATCTGTGCATATAGGAGAATATCACTAGGAATCATTTAGTCAGTAGCTTTTTTCAATTTGTAGACAAATATTACTTGTGGTGGTATTGTGTTACCCAAAATATTGTGAACCCTAATAAATTTATCTGGGGTCAGAGAACAGACAGCCACTAGATACAAAGGCTAGAAAATGGTGGCACTCACACCTTTAATCCTAGCATTCCAGAGAGAGAAATCCCTATGGATCTCTGTGAGTTCAAGGCCACATTGGAAAGGTCAGGCATGGTGACACACCCCTTTAATCCCAGGGAGTAATGGCAAGAACAGAAAGATATATAAGGTGTGGAGACCAGAAACTAGAAGCATTTGACTGGTTAAGCATTTGCCTGGTTAAGCATTTTGGCTGGTTAAGCATTCAGGCTTTTAGCAGCAGTTCAGCTTAGAGCCATTGGGATGAGGACACAGAAGCTTCCAGTCTGAGGAAACAGGACCAACTGAGGAATTGGCAAGGTGAGATAACTGTGGCGTGTTCTGTCTCTCTGATCATCCAGTGTTCACCCCAATAACTGACATCGGGTTTGATCTTATTAATAAGAACTGTTAAGATTCATGCTAAAATTACTTGGTAGTGTCTTAAGTCCCTGAGCTATCTAGGTCCTTGATCATCCAAACAATGTTAAGTATGGGTTTGATTTCATGGAGTGGGCCTTAAGTATAATCAGTTGTTGCTGCTTATTCCCACAAGCTCTGTGCCACCATAGCCCTAGCATATCTTGGAGTAAGGACACCATTGTAGATGAAGATTTTGAGACTGGCTAGGTGTTTACATTTCTTTTTTGATAGTGTGCATTGTACCTTCCTATACTTAAGATGCTGAACCAAAGAGGTTAAGATCTATATAGGCACCAACTTGATATCAGCTGAGGAATTGGTGTGGTGAGGTTAGCTGTGGCCTGTTCTGTTTCTCTAATCTTTCAACTTTCACCGCAATACCTGGCTCTGGGTTTGTTTTTATTAACAAGACCCTTTAAGATTTGTGTCACATCTGGTACCCAATGTTTGTGGTAAGAATTCACAAAAAAGCCACTTGTCTGTGGCCTTGCAGGCCCCAGCTCAGACCCAAGCTACCTTCAGCCAGTTGTGGTGACACACGCTGGTAGAATTTACTGAAGGAGGCAGAGGAAGGAGGATCCTGAGTTTGAATCTGGCCTAGAAGGCTTGCTAAGCAGAAGCTTCAGCCTGGGCCGAGCCAAAAACGGTGCCTGTGGAACAATGGAGGAAGCATCTGCTGCTCTGAGTTGCTGGCTCCTTCTCATCATGTTGTTGACTGCGGTGATGCTGCTACCTGTGATGAAGGGGATTTACTGTTGCTTGTTCAGAGAAAAATTGTCAGGACCGTTGTGTTACAAGGAAGCACTGGCAAAGGTCAGTTTGGAGAAGTTTGGCAAGACAAATGGTGGGGAGAAATAGCTGTGAAGATATTGTCTTCTAGGGAAGAATGTTCGTGCTCTGAGAGACACACATTTATCAGATTGTGATTACTCCAAACCACAGAGGTGGCACACAAAAAGTTCTGTAGGGAACCATGACCATGCCTAACAGCAACTTTGAAATCTTCAAGGGAATTACGGGACCCCACAACAATGATTCCACATGGACTATGGTAAAACCATTAAGCTAATTAACACCACGGAAAGATCGGCTTTGGACTAGAAACTGCTCAGGACAATTTCAAGATGGCTAGCTGAGATGATCCAGATTCACAGACAACTCAAACAAGGACTTGAGACAAGCCCTACATTTTCCCATTATGCAGAGACTGAACAACAAATGATACAGCTACCTCTCCCTAGACTTGACAATTAACACAAAAAAATTTCTTTTCAGGATTCCCTAAAGATGTCTTTGCCACCAGAAAGCAGGAAGTAATTTTAAGAAAATGATGCCCACATTCCCAAGAGATGGGGGAGGGGGTGTTTTTGGTCATTCAGTGGCTTATGGATAATTGTTATGGTTTATGAAGTTTGGTTACAAGTTGTTAATTGTTAATGTTAAAAAATGAAAGC